ACACTTCCCAACACTCCAACACGCGTTATAGAAATTCAAAAAAGGTTCCAAGGTTACATTGTGTTGAGTTTTTGGTTCCAACTATTAAATTTGTTGAATTACGATTACCATTTTATTGAGTTTAATATAAATATTTGGGATATCTTATGTTTCTTTGCAAAATTTATGAATATTATAAGTTTAGATTCATTTTTTGTTAAATTATTGAATATTAAATATAATATATACTACATAAATTAAAATATTATTTAATATCAAGACGTGTTCTAACGTGTCGAAATCTAACATTTTTTAGAATTAACGTGTCGGAGTGTCGTGTCGTATCGTGTCCCGTGTCAGTATCGCTGCTATATAGTAAACAACAATCAAATTATGTACTTTTAATAAATTTCAAAATTTCACCTATGTACTATCCAAGTGGTCACTTGTCGAATATGCTTAGAGAAATCCAAAAATGGAAAAGTTGAGAAAATGTTACCCTATTCACCGACAAAAAGAAAATATTACCCTACATACTTTTTCTTTTGAATGCCTTATTACTTGACTTACTCATAGTTGTTGACAGCTCAAGGACTTTTCGAAGGTAATTTCCATGCAAACCTAAACCGTGTAAGAAGAATAAGGGAAACTACACATTGCTTTTGCCCTCTCTTCTCTCTATTCAACGTTCAAACTTCAAAGTTCAAGCGACAACTCTTCACCTTCTTCATTTTCATTTGACTTGAGATTTTAGAAGACAGCGTAATGTGCTTAATTACAGGACACTACAAGATAAGTAGTTGAGTTAGAAAATAATTTTTTGCATTAACTGTTTGATAATCAATGCATAGGATTAAAAATTTTGTGATACCCTCCTTTTATTGTGCATAAATACTAGATTGAATAATATAAAATTTTAATTCCAAAAAAAGAAGAATAATATAAAATTTAATATATCATAATATCTTTTACGTTGTGTGTTATTTTGCATATAATAAAACTGAAAAAATAAAGAGGCCGGCAGTAGTTATTGATTTTTATTTTATTTTTTAAAATAGAGAATAAAATTTTGTAACCTAAATTAATAAGTAATAAAAGTTAAGCGTTTGTGTCTTTAAACGAAACATTTTTTCGTATATTATATTATTTTTTATTTTTAAAAAAATCAAACGGACACTTCTTAAAATAAGAAGACGATTCCAAAATAAAAAAGTTGTGGATTGGCCTCCTTAATTTGACCAGACCTAATAACATTTCCAAACCCCATGAAGTGCGCAACCTCGGGGGCGGCCGCGAGAAAAAAAGGTGTGGTTACACTCTAACCCTTGGCTTTTTTCGTGTCGGAAAGTTTGGTCAAGCCAAAATATCATAGCTGCATGTCAATGCAGTTTGGCTCACATAATATTACATACATTTTTAACGTGGCATAGGTTTGAATTCTTCATTCCATTATTAGTCTCTCAGAAGTTTCTTGAATAATATATCTTATTAGTTAATGCTGTTTAACCCTCTTACAAAAACCTTCTCTTAATTTAAAGGGATGAAGAATAAAAGAGGGTGGGGCCTGAGGGTGATTGAAAATGATTGAACCATAAAACATGTTAGGTACTTACATGTCTATTATGCCTTCTTTTTACCAAATACCCATAAAAGGTTGGAGTAAAACCTAATTACATATCTACTCTACACGCCTAGCGTTTTGATATGCATAATTTCTCAGGCTAATAAAATTTAAAATATTTTTATCTTAGAAGAGCCTTTCTTCAAGTAATACGGGCCGGGAAAACACTCAAAAACCACAGAGGCCAATTAAAATTGAAAACATACTTGACCAATAAATACAATACCATGTTGTCATCAACTTTGTGATTCAATTCATTTTTCCTTTTAATTAAATTAGAAGTCTGCTATGAGGTAGTCATCTAGATTGGACCGAATTTTTAATTTTAATAAAAAAATGAAAAACACTGAGCAAGGAAGAATAAGAACAGCCTATATATGAAAATATTTTTGACCTCTCACGGCATTTTTTAATAGAAGGATAACAAAATGTCGGTCTAAACATGTTGTCATAACTTAGATTCCAAGCGTTAATCAGTGGAGACTTACATCAATGATTGTGATGGTTAGTATCAGTCTTGTTCTCTTACTTTATTGTTAACAAATATAGAATGGGTTATCAATTACATGTGTTCATTAATATATGTTACCTAGTTGAATAATGATTGCCTTAAAAACTCACTAATAAAGAAATGCACCGGCATTACTCATTATAAATTATTATTATTTACAGAAATCAAATAATTAAATTATGCTCATTGAATAATGAATGAAGAAGAAACAACAAACAGAACAAAAAACCTATAAATTCAAAGTTTGGGACCTAATAAATTTTCGAAAGATAAATGACTTTTGTTTTGGCGAGATCGAATATATATTATATACGCCAATAATAAAAAGTAGGAAAAGAGCACAACAATGTCGCTAATAGATTTGTAGCACATTTTTCATAAATTAAAACATTATTCTTTCTGATAATTTTAATCAAAAGCGTTTTCGAAACCATCGCATCAGATTTTCAATAACATCAAAAAGACTCGTAGGTATAAAGAAATGGTTCGTTTTTTCTGCAGTAAATCAAATACGACGTCGTTTTGAGACAGAAATTATGCTATTTTCATAATTTTAATTTATTTCAGAGTTACAATAGTCTTTATATTTATAATTTTTTTAAGATTTTAATACCAAAATGACGTTATTTTAAAAATAAATGAAGATAACTTATTTGCATTAACTGCGTAAACATTTTTTCAATAAAGAAATTTGGATACGAAGTTTCACTGCAAAGGAGGCACACGAAATTGGGGCAACATATTAATATGATGTTGAAAATCTTTCCGAATCTTTTGGCGGTTGTTCTGTCTTTAATGACCTCCGTGCATCGCTCTGCTCTGCTACAGGAACTTGCTCTTCCTCCCGTTTACAACTTAATTGGAAATTAATTTATTATTATGTATAACAAACTTGCATTTGGTTGCATAAAATAATAACCTAAATTTTCTGCATTTTTTTATTTATGATGAACAAAAACTTATATTTATATACAGGGAGGCTATCATAAAATTTATTATAAATAATACACATTTGATTCCCTTAAAAATATATAAAACTAACCAACCCACAATTACACTGTCATTATCAATCACATATAATTTAGATAAAAAGTATCCCTTCAAAACATCTAAGCGGCCGACTCGGATGAAGTTCTTACTCAGTCCTCACTATGCTCAAAAGTACAATTTCAAAAAAATAAAAATAAAAAATTAAACGAGTATGTCGTTTTCCAACGTAAAACATAGTACAAAACAGATCCTTATGAGCAGCACATTTGTTAGAGACACAACGACTGACTTAAACTGAACCAAATAAATCAGTGATAATTAAGAATAAAAAAGAAATATATTAATTCTGATAATAATAAGCTTTTATCTATTTATCCTTGTCCACTTTCACACATCTCGAATGCAGTTTGACCATGCCGCCCATATCATTCATTACGAATACATACCCCCATTTAATTCGTACTTATAATTATTATCAAGTTCATTAGCTGTTTATTAAAAATCAACTCTCTTTTTTTTTTTTTCGAAGTATATATTTTTAATAAAGTACGAGCACATTTATAATATCTCTTGATTGACACGACACGATTGGCAAAAAGATCAAGGAATAATGTAATGTCCTAACCCGAATTAATTAGAATGAAAATTATGACGCGAGCGAGGGTAGTATTGAACTATTGATGATGATAAGAACAACAAAGAGTATGAACGGAGAGGAATTTGGCATTGGCATCTGTCTCACGTGCAAATTCTTTTTGCAAAGAAGGCAAGTGCCTGGTACGCCGGCCAGATATCGCTGTCGACGCCCAACATTGCTACCCGAAATGGGTTTCGTGGTTGGGCAACGCGTATTACCATCCAAACGAAAACCACCACTCTGCTTCCTTCGTTGACATGGCTGGTCCCACCCACATTTACCTGCCTCTTTTTCAGCCCATGTCTACGTGACATGGACCCCACTTTTGCCCCCTCCTTCCCCTACACCACCGTGTTCAACCTTTTTCTCTTCTATTTTTTTAAGCAAGTTTTTGTTTGTATAACCATTAACCAATACAATATTCAAATATTTCACTCTAAGGGAAAGTACTCGTATTTGGCTGTTTGCTTCTATTGTGCGTGCAACTGTGCATTATAACTTGTCAATTTTATTATTATTTGTTTCGGTCAACTTTGTTTCCTTTGACGGCCAAACCTTAACCTCGCTCTTGTATTGTCATTGAGTTATCATCATACGAAAAGTGACTTTAAAAATATTTGCTAATCCTCAGTTTTGTTACATGCATTTAAGAATTTATTAAATATAATCAATAAATTAAAAAATCGACAATTCAACTTAGCTACAAATAATTAAATATTCTTGTAAAAAAATAAACATTAGAACAAAATTCTTTTATAAGAACTTTTAATGAAAAATATTTAAATGACTTTTTATAATAAGATCTCAAATGACAATTATGAATAAGAGGGTTCAACTTTGATGGTTAGCTCAAGTGACAATTATGAATTTCAGAATTAGTCTCGTTCTTTTGGGAGTTTCCATCCCCTCTAATTATGGAAATAATTAGATCATAAAATTAAAAAAAGAAAATAGAAGTAGTACTAGTAACTAATATCCTTTCATCACAAGGGACCTACTTAGATGACATGGCATCGACTAGTCCATAGACACCCCGGGGTCTTTACTTTGTTTCTATATAAAGTCTATAACATGCTCTCTTCTCTCTCACTACAACAACAACACCAACACCAGTTTTCTATCTGCTTCACGGAGAAGAAACTCTTCCTCTTATTTTCCCCCACACTGTTTCTCCCTTCGGTTCTCTAACTCCCTCTTCAATTTAGCTTAAGCAATTACTCTGAAACCTCACTCATCAAAGTCAGTTTCTTTCTAAATTAAAGATGGCTGTGGATTCCACAATTTCATCTCCATTGGGTCCCCCTGCGTGCGAGAAAGACGCAAAGGCACTGCAGTTCATAGAGGAAATGACCCGAAATGCCGACACCGTCCAAGAGAGGGTGCTGGCGGAGATTCTTAGCAGGAACGCCGACACAGAGTACCTTAAACGCTTCAAACTGGGAGGCGCCGCCGACACTGAAACCTTCAAGTCCAAGATTCCCGTCATCACGTACGAGGATGTTCAGCCCGAGATTCAGCGAATCGCCAATGGCGACCGCTCTCCAATCTTGTCTGCTCACCCTATCTCTGAATTCCTAACAAGGTCAGCATCTCTCACTTCTCATATGAAAAATCAAGCAATCTTTTTTTTTTTTTTTTTTTCTGAAATTGGGAACTGAATCAAATTTGGGTTTTGTGTTGTGGAATCTGAATTTGCAGTTCTGGGACTTCAGCGGGTGAAAGAAAACTCATGCCCACGATTAAGGAAGAGCTGGATCGTCGCCAACTTCTATACAGCCTCCTCGTGCCAGTTATGAACCTGTAAGTTCCTCCTCCAAATAATTGCGCTAAACAAATATATACTATATTTCTTATTCTTATCTCTGTGCCTAATTAATGTCTTTTGTCTTTACTTAACAAACTATCAATTGCATAAGAATAAATTTATATTTTTCATATAAACAATGATTGAAATCGAACAATTAAAAAAAAAAATAGAATTAGAGAATTTGTTATGAATCAATTTAGTCGTCCGTTTGTGATCTAACGATGCTTATTATTTTGAATGGAACAGTTATGTACCGGGTTTGGACAAAGGAAAGGGCCTATACTTTTTATTCGTGAAGTCCGAAACAAAGACACCTGGTGGGTTATTGGCCCGCCCGGTTCTCACAAGCTACTACAAGAGTGACCATTTCAAGACCCGACCCTATGACCCGTACAATGTCTACACTAGCCCCAACGAAGCCATCTTGTGCCCTGACTCATTCCAGAGCATGTACACCCAAATGCTCTGTGGGCTCATGGAGCGCAACCAAGTGCTCCGCCTCGGCGCCGTCTTCGCCTCCGGTCTACTCCGAGCAATTCGGTTCCTCCAACTCAATTGGCCCGAACTGGCCCATGACATCAAAATCGGGTCCTTAAATTCCCGAATCACCGACCCGGCAATAAGGGATTGCATGATTAATGTCATGAAACCCGACCCGGAATTAGCATCTTTTTTGACACAAGAATGTTCCAAGGAAGATTGGGAAGGAATCATCACGAGGATTTGGCCCAACACAAAATACCTAGACGTGATCGTAACGGGTGCTATGGCTCAGTACATTCCAACACTCAACTACTACAGTGGTGGGTTGCCACTTGCATGTACCATGTACGCTTCCTCGGAATGCTACTTCGGACTCAACCTTAATCCCATGTGCAAGCCTTCCGAGGTTTCGTACACCATCATGCCAAACATGGCCTATTTCGAGTTCCTCCCCCACGAATCCGGGACTATGAACTTGTCCGGATTTGACTCGCCGGCGAGGCTAGTTGACCTCGCCGACGTAGAAGTGGGGAAGGAATATGAGTTAGTCATCACCACCTATGCGGGGTTGTACCGTTACAGGGTTGGAGACATACTCCGAGTCACCGGATTCCACAACTTGGCGCCGCAATTCCACTTCGTGCGACGAAAGAACGTGTTGCTAAGCATTGACTCCGACAAGACTGATGAAGCAGAGTTGCAGAAAGCAATGGAGAATGCTTCGAAGCTTCTTACTGAGTTCAACACGAGCGTGGTTGAATACACGAGCTATGCGGACACGAAGACGATACCGGGTCATTATGTGATATATTGGGAGCTGTTCATCAAAGACTCGTCCAACTCACCGAGTCACGAGGTGCTGAATCGGTGTTGTTTGGAGATGGAGGAATCGTTAAACTCAGTTTACAGGCAGTGTCGGGTTGCGGACCATTCAATTGGGCCATTAGAAATACGGGTTGTGAAGAGTGGCACTTTTGAGGAGCTAATGGATTATGCAATCTCAAGAGGTGCATCCATAAATCAATATAAGGTGCCAAGGTGTGTGAATTTTACTCCAATAATGGAGCTTTTGGACTCTAGGGTTGTTTCTGTCCATTTTAGCCAAGATTTGCCACATTGGACCCCTAAAAGGAGGTGAGATTCTTGGCATGTGGGCTTAATGGCTTTGAGTCTAAGTGTAGAGGTAGATTTTGTTTCCTTTTTTTTATTTTTTTTGTTTAAGTGTAGGGATTGTTGAGACTTTAAAGGGAGATGTTGGATTATGACGTCTCTTTGGTTAGGTTAATTATGTATTTTGGTTCAATTAACTTGCGCAAAATGTGACTTTGACTTTTTAGTAAATTAGTCTATTGTATGTATTGGTCCTTTCAAGTAGAAGTAAGGAATGTAATAGAACAGAAGACATTTCCTTTTGCCTATTAAAGTTGCTCAATTCATTGTATTTCGCTGTTAAATATATCTTAACTCCTCGAAGGGACGTTGTTATGTGGGAAAAGTTTAGAAAAATAAGAGAAAAATAACCATGACAACAAATTCTAATGTTTGGAGGTTCTATGAAAATGGATCTTTAATTTATTTGTTTTTTCTCCATTGTTGGCGTCTTTCCATACATTTAGCAGGTCTACTAATTTTAACCCTTTTCAACTCTATCAATGATATAATTAGCTCAAAATTCATCCTCATTTTCAATATTTTAAACTTGCATTATTTTTCATGCACCCTGCTTGGCTGGATCCTTGTATAGGTGTTTTCAATCAATATTAGTTGGGGACAAAAAGTTCACAACTTTTTTTTGAGGGGAAGTTCACAACTTTATCTTCAGAATATATTTGACAAGTATATCTAGAAAGTGTTTATGAAATAACTATTTAAATAGCAGAAATGAGGAGCTAATGCGTTAATTAATTAACATATATAATACAAACCAAAACTATGTTCCTTAGTTGCTGTTATATTATAAATAACTATTTCAACCCAAAATTTAAAGGTGTTAGGTGGAGCCTTTTTAAAGATTTATATATTGTCTAACACCTTATCACGCAAAATCCCTAACCACTTCAACCCAAAATTTTAAGTTAATAGGTGGAGGTTGTTTAATGATTTATCTTAGGGAAATACTTCTCTTCTGCTGCAGGTAGGGGTGTGCATGGGTCACGTCGGATCAAGTTTTTGTACCGACTCGACCCAACTTAGTTTTTATAGGTCAGGTATTTTGACCCAACCAGCTTTAATTTGATCTAAGTCAGGTCTGACTTGGTTTGGATTTTTTTGAACTAGTTCAGAACCTGGTCGGATTTGACCTGACTTGGTTTCAGAAGTGGGTCAAATCTGACCTGACCCGTTTTTGACTTGTTTTCAAAACATGTTTTAAATTTGATTTTTTTATAGTTATTAATTTATTTTTTAAACTCATGTAATTTAATTATTTGTTTGTTTTAAAATATATAAATTTTATAATAAATTTGATATTTGTTGAATAAATAAAGGAACGTAAATTTAAGCCCCTGTACATGTGAAGAAAAATTAGTGAAAATTAATGAAAAGTAAAGGATGAGAGAACGCTCTATCCATCTTAAGATGACAAATCACTAATTTTAACAATACTAAAAAAGATCATATTTTCGATGAAATTTCTACTTTGCAAACGACGATAATTTTGTCACAAAATTATTTTTTCGTCGGAATACTTTTTGTCGAAAAGCGACAGAGTTTTTTCTCTAATAAATTTTTTTACAAAACTAAATTTTCTATCGAAATTTTTGACGGAATTTAGTTTCCGTCAAAAGTTTTGATGAAAATGATTTCCTTCATCAAATGTTTTAAACGAAAAAAGAATTCCGTCAAAAATTTTTACAGAATATTTTCCGTTCAAAATTTCAATGGGAATGTGTTCTGACGAAAATAGTTTTGAGGGAAATGTTTCATTCGAAACTTTCGACGAAAATTTAGATTCTCTAAAGAATTTTGATAGAATATTTTTTCTGTCAAAATAATTTATCGCAATATTTTTTGTCAAAAATTTTTACGAAATTTTTTGATTGAAATGTGTTTCGTTGAAAATTTTGATGGAAATGTTTTTTTATCAAAAAACTTGACGAAAATATTTAATCAAAAATTTTCAATGGAAATATATTTCGCTAAAAATTTCGACGAAATTTTTCTATAAAGAATTTTGATGAACTTTTTTTCTGTAAACAAATTTCAATGGAAATGTGTTTCGTCGAAATTTTTGATGAATATGTTTGTGAAATATTTTGACGAAATTTAGATTCCATAAAAAAATTTGACAAAAAATTTTATCCATCAAATTTTTTTACATAAATATTTTTAGTCACAAATTTTGATGAAAATATTTTCCGTCAAAAATTTTCGCGAAATTTTTTGAGGGAAATATTTTTCGTAAAATATTTTGATGTAGTTGTTTTACGTTAAAAGTTTTCTTTTGACGTAATTGTTTTACGTTAAAACTTTTCTTTTGACGTAATTGTTTTACGTTAATTTTTTTTTAACGTAATTGTGATATTTTTTTTCTTTTTTTTTCATATAATGGGTGTGGGTCAAGTTTTAGGTTAATAGATCATTATTAAACAAGTCAGGTCTAAAACTGACTCCAAATAAAAGTGGGTCAGTATTTAAACCCAGTTAAAAAAAAATAGGTATTTATGGGTCAGAACAAGTGAACCAATTTTTTCGCACACCCCTAGCTGCAGGAAAGAGAAGTCATCTACAACAGTCACATGTTTTTTAGGATATAGTCCCATATAGTAAAATGCATGTGTCAGCTGCAGATAACTTCTCTGCAGCAGCAGTAGATTAATAGAACCCTTAATATTATTGTCTAACACACCCTCTTACTCAAAATCCCTTTGAGTTTGAAGCGTGAATATTGCACGGGCTTAATTTTTGATTTACCTCGTGCTTATTTAATTCCATTGCAAAGTGGGGGGCGATAAGAATTACACTCGTGTCTTTGTGGTCACTGAAACTCTAATATAAATAATCACTTCAATCCTAAACTTTAATGGTTTATATTATTCTCTAACATACCCCCTCACAACAAGAGCTCTTTATACTTGAAGCGTAAATATTACACAAACTTTTTTAGTGATTTATACTATACTTTAACACACACATGTTAAGTAGAAAGGTTTTATGCTTTGCCTTTTCAACAATGAACCCACTCATAAAAAAAGTTTAAATAAATAATTGGTCTTTATAGTTTCGCCTGATTTAGATTTTAGTTATCGAACTTCTTCTTTTTGGTGAAAAGTTATTGAAATTTTTATTTTTCGTTTTTTTGTATTTTAGTCGATATACTAACACTCTTCTTTTGCATTAGTGGCTGACGCCATCTACTATTATAAGTTATAACACTATTTAATTTGTCATAGATATCTACATCATTAGTGATGATTTAAAATAATTGTAATTTGTCACTATTATTCTAGAAATAGTGACCAATTTTTGTTTTCATTGTTATAAATTTCTTATAATGATTTATAATTCTATTTATTAAAATTTATTTGGAATTGTCACATCTATTTTTTTTTGTAAACATTGTGACATCTATTTTAGTTGTAGACAACAATGATAACAATTGCTATTTAAAAAAGAAAACCTTCAATTAATTCAAATCTAACATTTAGAAATAAATTATCCATTACATATTTACTTACAACAACTAGAAAAAAATCCAACGAAGCTGCCAAATTCAAATACCTATAAATCAATGACAACAAACTTTTAAGAATTCTTAAAAAAAAAATTAAATGTCCAAAATGATATATAAAACATCGTAACTTCAACAATTTTGGTCCTGCAAATAAAATAGTTAATAATAATAAAAATAAAATAATCAGTAATAATTATTAAATATAACCTAACAAAAACATGTCATAGTAGAGATAATAATAAAAATAAATTATAATAACAAAGAAATTTACCTTATTAATTCCAAGAAGTATCACTCAAATCTCTATGAATTTTAGTTGGGATAAGCACTTGCTTTTTATATAGATATATGTATAAAAATTCCATAATATCCATACCGTCCAAGTATAGTTTAATTAATGTCTTTAAATTCATTGCATTCTCTCATATCGCAATGAGTTTCGAAGATGTTGGGTTCAGTGGCCCATCATGGCAGGCCCAATAGTTATTGTTGTCTTAAATTCAACTTTAAAAAGAACAGTTTCTCATTAATAAAAAGAAGGAAAAAATATATATTTTTTTGTTGTAATTTTTTTTCTACTACACTCATATATAAATGAGTGGGTCCTACAGATAGTTTCAGTCACTATCGTACCCACTCTTGGGAAAATACCCACAAATTGATACATAAATTGACTTTGAATTGTTCATACAATCACGCTTTTGTGAAAAATCAAGCTATCATCCGAAAAAGAATAAATGTGAAACGAATAAGACATTCTTGCATTTACACACATGTGCTCTATATATAAATTGATTGTAGTCTAACTAAAGGAGTGGTAGGTTCATACCCTCGACAAATATAAGAAATAAATCAAATTGATTACAATTCATAATCATTGAAAAAAAATGTTGACACTCATGTCATAATTAGCTTCACATATCGGAAGCAAACAATTTTCACATCATAATTATAAATAATCATTTATCAAATGATGAACACATATTTTGAAATTTTCTTAAATAAAAAAGGGCTAAAGGCACACTACACTTGTTTTATCAAATTAGACAAAAAGAAGGAAATAGTTAGTTTTAATAATATTCAGTAGAGTAGTATTAATTGTACATTATATTTGAGTGTCATATCTTGCAATTCAATTAAACTGATTTAATCAGGTAACCACTCCTTATGACGAACCTACTCTTGGACAAATGATTGCAAGTCCAAACACAAGAATGAAGAATCGAAGAATGTTTTTGTAATTATTTTATTGTGATAATTTAATTGACTCTTGATTATTATGTTAAATTAATTTTTTTCTTTTTTTGTTTATATTCTTTTATTTTTTAAATGCATTTTAAACAATTTTTTGGGTAGCAAACATCCGCCACTAAATTTGTGAACATAAATAAAAGAATTTGATGCGCCACTTGTTTTGGTAAAGAAGAAACCATATTTTCTTATTGAGAGTAATTCTTCATGAGAGAGAGAAACTTGCAATAAGCTATCCTATTCGCGGATGAGATGAATGAGAATGAGAGCATTCTTTTGGCTCCTGCTTCGTACAAAGATATCATATCAACAATACAAACCAATATTGCATTAAAAATTCAACTGAAAATATAAAAAATAAATAAAAAAATGGTGGGTTCTCATTAAAACCCAGTTAAAAAGCAATAAGAGAGCGTTTGGTATAAAGTATTTTGTAAAATTTTTGGGAAATTGAATTTTTCTAAATTTTTAATTTTCGGATATTATCATAAATTGAATACTTTCATCATATTTCTGAAAATCGAGATTCACGGATAAAAAAAAAATTATCTTTTAACAAACACTAAATAACCCCGAGTGTGGCTCTGGGCCTCTGGCTCGTGTCTTGTTCAACCCTCTCAGATCCTTATCTCAGCTCGTTACTAAATTTTTATTACGCACAGTTAAATTATATGAAATGAACGTCACTTACGTGTATCAGACCTGAAAAAAGTTATCAACAAATGTAGATGGTAGTTTAGTGGACTCTTTACTGGTTCTTACTTCTTATCATCAAAATTGCCACTCTCTATTTTCACGAGTTAACAAAAATACAAAAAAGAAAAAGAAAAAAATTACGTAGTCTTTTGTTTTGTAACGTTTATCATTGTTTAAGAAGCGTTGCAGCGCGTGCCGCACTTGCGCCACGGTGGAAAAATAACAGTCAAAGCATGTGGGGGACCACTCCCAGCACACGCTCCACACAATGAACCTCACTCCCTACATAAATCCATAAATACCCTTCAAACTTCCAAACAATTACCCAACCCTTCTGCATCCTCGCACTGTTTTCGAAGCCCAATATTGGAATTCCGTCATTCCTCAAATCTGCATGAAATCATGATAACCTGGTCTTTCTCAAGTTCCTCCAAAAGCATTATAAAACCTCGCAACGACTCAAAGTTTGTTAACAACTCACACACTCGTCTCGTGCACTCATGGCATCAGCTGCAGCAAAAAACTCCCACATTTCTCTCATCATCATTGTTCTCTTGTTAGGGTTAGCCACATTGCCAGCTTCAGCTGAAGAATGCGAGTCAAAATACGCGGGAGGGTGCCACGATAAGGATCAAGCGCTGAAATTGAAGATCATAGCCATTTTCTGCATATTGGCAACCAGCATGATCGGGATTTGCCTACCCATATTCTCACGCGCGGTCCCGGCGCTTAGACCCGACGGCGAACTCTTTGCTCTGGTTAAGGCCTTTGCCTCCGGCGTCATTCTCGCCACCGGTTACATGCACGTGATGCCGGATTCCTTTGATGACCTCACATCGCCGTGCTTGCCGGATCGTCCATGGCATAAGTTTCCCTTCACCACCTTCGTCGCCATGCTCTCCGCCGTTTTCACTCTCATGGTTGATTCATTTTCCATTAGTTACTTTAAGAAGAAGCTCTCTGTTTCCGGCACTGCCTTGGAAGCCGGCGGTGGTGGTGACGGTGGTGAGCATAAGGAACTGCAACAGCCTGGATTCGGACATGGACATCAACATGTTGAGAATGTGAATGCAGAACAGTTGCTACGTTATCGTGTCGTGGCTCAGGTCTATATATCATTTCATTGAATCTGTGTTGTTGTGTTTGTGACATTCATTTTATTGTTAGTGTTTGATGTAATTACTAACCTGTGATCACTAATTAGTGTAAAATAATATTTTTTTAATAATAATATGTTATTAGTACTAATGATTAGTTCCTCCCTAAAAATTATTTATAAGGTGCAGGTTATATTTACAAATTTTTTTGTTTACAAACTACATTATGTTCTCTAAGGAGAACACTGGTTACACTATGTTCTCTCGGGAGAACATAATGTAATTTGTAAAAAAATTTAAAAAAAATTCGTAAACGGATCCTTCCTCTATTTATAATAGTTAATAACTTTTAATAGTGTTAATAATACTTATAATTTTAATGAGTGCAGGTGTTGGAGCTAGGGATTGTGGTGCACTCGGTGGTGATTGGTTTGTCAATGGGAGCTTCTGAGAACCCATGCACCATCAGGCCTCTGATTGCTGCACTTTGCTTCCATCAACTCTTTGAGGGAATGGGCTTAGGTGGTTGCATACTTCAGGTGATTTTCATGTCTACATTATATTTTTTTACAATGGTTAGTGTATTAATGTTATATAAATGAATGAGTTTTGTCACGTTCTAATTGGTTTGATTTTGGTAATAGGCTGAATATGGATTCAAGGTGAAAGCTATTATGATTTTCTTCTTCTCTGCCACAACCCCATTTGGGATCGCTTTGGGGATTGGTTTGTCAAATGTGTATAGCGACACCAGTCCAACTTCTCTTATTGTGGAGGGGATTCTAAATGCTGTATCTGCAGGGCTTTTGAATTATATGGCATTGGTGGATTTATTGGCTTCTGATTTTATGGGGCCTAAGTTGCAAAGCAGAATAAAGCTACAGATTTTGTCTTATGTTGCTGTATTGCTAGGCGCAGGAGGCATGTCAGTGATGGCTATATGGGCATAGACACTGAAGTTGATGCAGATTTTGTCACGGATTACAATTGCATTGTTAGTTAGTTGCAAACTCATTTTTGTATCCGCCTTCACATTAATCTTGATGAGCGTTTGCGTAAGTTTTTTCTAATTACATTCGTGTTTGTAGCTAATAAGGCCTCTTTTGAAGCGAATGATCATCAATTGATTAATCATTATCTGTTTTTTTTCCTAATGTGATTAGTGCAATGACATGAAATTTGATCTTTAACTAGTTCCGCATTATTGAAAATGCTAAAGGCTGCATATAGCTGCATCATACAGATTCCATTTAGGTTCAATGATGTAACGCAAGTAGACGTAACCGAATCAATCTCCTTTCCGAAATAGTAAGATCCATGCTAATTTGAACCATACTTCGGAAGAATATTTGTAATTTGTATGGATTGCTAAGGGAATGGTACATTTTTAGGATATATTTCATAACATTTAACCCTGTACACAAGCTATACTCAACGAAAATCACCCTTTAAGTTCAAAGAGTCCAATCTGCTTTTGAAGAGTTTATTTTTTTTCCCGTATCAATCATGGAATGGAATAAATACCATCTGCATTATTATAATAACAACTCCATCACCAAATCGTGATAGCTCATTTGCGGCATGAAAGCTGAGCAGACAGGTGTGGATGAGAGCACTGTCATTTTTTTTGGAGGGGTTTAAAACTTTAATTCAAGATCCGCCTCTCCATCAATGGTGTAGGAAGTGGTTGAGAACCTTGTGGTGTTACTTCTTGCTGTTGAGTGTAATACATAGATTTGTTGTTATTTCTTTCCGTCTTGCCTGTCTTGTAATTTGGTCATACAATGATTATGTATTTTATAAATTAAGTCTTCAGATGTTATATCAGTATCTTTCACTGTAGAAATCATCCAAATACTTACTATCACGGGGAAGTTTTGTATTAACAAAATTAATCATAGGAGGCTTTATGCCAATCACGAAAAGTTTTCTACTAACGGACTTAAGCTTTATACACTAACAAACTAATGTTAAATGACAAAGTAATTACCATGATATTATCAAGTCAAACCACAGAAACTAACTTATTTAATCGTAAATTTTATTTAGTCATCTTTCATAATTAATTATTGGAAAATTAGACATAAAGGAGAGGAAGTAGGAATGAGAGAAGAGTAATAACTTCCTAATAATTTAAATAAAGTCATATAGTTTCATTTATTAATTTAAATACACTGTTTACATAATATATATATATATATATATATATATATATATCATTCAATAATATATTATTATGTATTGTCACAATATATATTTGATAAATTAAACAAAACATAAAATATTGATTTTATTAGTGAGATAATGCATCATAAACTAACAATATAATTTCTTTTTACAATAACAATCTTCCTTAATGAAATTTTTATTAATGATTTTCTAGTGAACAAAAATGGTAGTAGTCGTGGTGATACCCTTATAAGTTATAATTACTCCACCACACACTTGATTGTCTATCACTAGGCCGATAGCACTGTCACATTACTATCCAGTAGCTTCCAAATTTTATTTGGGGGAAATATTTCTATTTTTGTCACTGAATTTTTTTTTTTGTCACACTCATATAAAAATAGTGGATTTTATTATAATGAAAAAAGAGAGAGAAAATAGTAGAATATAATGGGACCATTTTTATTTTTTTTGTACGTGAGTGTGAAAAAAAAAATTTCTGAATTTATTATAGATCATTGTCTGTCTATATCTTCAGTTTTTATAACGGAAAATGTTACAAATGACATATGATTGGCTATTTATAGGAGATTGTGGCGGAGGCTATTTAGAATGCATCGCCAGTCCGCCATATTACTTTCCAGCGGCTTCTAATATTTTCTTGATTTCATCTTTTGCTTCTTACATGTAACCTAAGGGATCATCTTAGAATAGAACCTTCTAAGATATGGCGAAGGCTTGCTTAATTAGACCATCTCAAGAAAAATTCTTATTTCAAGGGAGCGTTTGGTTGAGGAGAAATTTTTTGAATACTAGGAAAATATAATTGATAAGAAAATGGTTGGAAATTGAGTTTGGTAGAAAAATGTAAAAAAAATTGTTTGGTTAGAAAAAAATTTATCGGCAAATTAGATAAGATTTATAAAGTCTATGTTTGGTTTGAGGTAAAATATAGAAAGAGAAATAAGTGACAATTACGAAAATATCCTTACTTTTTAAAATTTACTTAAAATTAAAAGAGATAAAAAATTATAAAATATAAAATTCTAACATAAAAAAATAATAAAAATATTTAGAATTTTAATAAAATTATTTTAATGAAAAAAATATAAAATCATAATAATGAGTTAAAAAAAAGTTCACAATCAAAGCGACTTGACGAAGGCGTCGGAGGATCGATCCGCGAGTGAGAGTCTGAAAAAATGGACCACATGGGCGACGAGGAAAGCTAAATTCATCACCCACTATGGCTTATGAAAGAATTGAACAGAGATTGGCTTATGAGAGGGTGGCTTATAAGAGGGTATAATGGACAGTGGTATTTTGTCAAAAAGTGGTTAGCTGGCTATTTTTCAGAAAAACACCTCCCACGTCAGTTTCTAAAAAGTGACAAAGCCTAACAATCTGAGACCAAATGGCAAAATGCTATGTACATGGGATGGCTGGGGAATGTGAGTAAATATGTCTACCAAACAAGTGCAAAGTGGATTGCTGTGTTGATTTGCATGGGGAAGTTTAAAAAATCTGTCAAGACTTTAAATTCTGAAATACTTTTCTATTGATTCATCTCATTCATTTACAGAGGATGAGTATTTATACACTTTATCTTCAAAACTAATTCCTAAAAATATTCTAACAACTTCTTAAACAAGAATTTGTTGTAAACAGAAACATAAACAGAAAGATAATCTAAATCTTTACAACAGTAATTCAATTTCAAATATCTCTTAATCTAACACTCCCCCTCAAGTTGGTGCATGGATGTCACACATGCCTAACTTGCCACTTGTATTATCCAGAGCTTTTCCTGAGACTGCTTTAGTCAAGATATCTGCTAGTTGACTTTCTGATCTAACAAACGGTGTAGTGATGATTTTCTGATCAAGCTTCTCCTTTATAAAATGCCTATCCACTTCAACATGTTTTGTTCTATCATGTTGGACTGGGTTATGAGCAATCTCAATAGAAGCCTTGTTATCACAGTAAAGGCTCATGGGAAGTTCATAATTAACTCCCAAATCACTTAAAACATTTTTTATCCATAGAAGCTCACAGATACAATAAGCCATACCTCTGAATTCTGCCTCGGCACTTGATCTTGCAACAACCTTCTGTTTTTTACTTCTCCATGTGACTAGGTTGCCTTCTACAAATGTGAAATAACCGGAGGTAGATTGTCTAGTAGTTTTATCCCCAGCCCAATCTGAATCAGTGTATCCTTCAATGTTCTTTTTGCTGTTTTTCGAGAAGAGGATACCTTTTCCAGGTGTTCCTTTGAGATATCTCAAAATACGATATACAGCTTTCATGTGATCTTCACTGGGAGAGTGCATGAATCTGCTTACCACACCAACTGCATAGGCAATGTCTGGCCGAGTATGTGACAAATATATTAGCCTGCCTACTAGCCTTTGATATCTTCCAATGTCTGCTTCTACTTGATTCGGATATATACCAAGTGAGTGGTTCATTTCAATGGGATTCTCAGCTGGTTTCCAAGCCAACATTCCTGTTTCTGATAAGAGATCTAGAGTATATTTTCTTTGAGTTAGAAAGATGCCTTTCTTTGATCTTGCAATTTCTATCCCAAGAAAATATTTTAGAGGTCCTAGATCCTTCATTTCAAATTCAGCTGCTAAATTTTGTTCCAGAGACTTCATTTCATCAAGATCATCTCCTGTTAATACCATATCATCTACATACACTATTAAAATGGTTACCTTTTGTGCTCTGTGTTTATAGAACAGAGTATGGTCAGAATTACTCTGTTTGTATCCGAATCTCTTCATTGCCACAGATAAACGCCCAAACCATGCTCTTGGTGATTGCTTGAGTCCATATAATGCCTTTCTTAGTTTGCAGACCAGATTTTCATTGGACTGGGTTAGTTGTACCCCTGGTGGTATGTCCATATAAGCTTCTTCCTCCAAATCGCCATTTAGGAATGCATTTTTAACATCAAATTGTTTCAAAGGCCAACCCCTGTTGGCTGCCAAGGAGATTAGAATCCTTATAGTGTTGAGTTTAGCCACCGGAGCAAATGTTTGCTGATAGTCGATCCCATACTTCTGTGTATATCCCTTGGCCACCAGTCTTGCTTTGTATCGGTCTATGCTTCCATCTGCCTTTAATTTGACTGTGAACACCCATTTGCACCCAATTGGTTTTTTTCCATTTGGCAAAGATGTTAATTCCCATGTTGAATTGCTTTGGAGTGCTTCCATTTCCACATTCATTGCTTTCTTCCAATTTGGATCATCCAGTGCTTCCTGTACACTATTTGGAATTGACACACTAGATAATTGATTAATAGATAGTGCATATGATTCGGACAATTGTTGAGTGGATACATAATTGCTGAGAGGATATTTAGCTTTGACTTGTGGGTCAGGTTCATACAATTGTTTCGGAATACCTTTGTTTATTCGAGAAGATTTTCTGATGTGTGTGTCAGGAGGTGAAACAGAAGGAGGAATAAGATTTACCTCGGTATTATGTTGAATTTCTGGGGCAGCCAGAGAAGATCCTTCGGTTATATGTGTTAGATGAGGCATCTCACTTTGTGGACCATCATTTACTGCAGTGGAAACTGCTTCTGGTTGGTCATGTGGGGCTGCTTCAGGCTGAAAATTCTGGACAGCCACGGACTGATTATGTTCTGGTGTAGCTGGTTGTTCATTTGCGGCAGGAAGCAAGTTGTTAAGTGGTACGATGTAAGTAGAAAGCCAAGCTTCTTCTTCTCTATTAATTACTGGTAATGGATGCTCCCCCTGAGAAGGAG